ATTGCTCCTTTTCTATTTCCAGAGGGAGAGGCTTTCATATCAGATTGACAGCAGGGGACAGATACAAGAAGTTCTTGTTGTCACTGAAAGCCACAGCCTGGATGTACTGCCCGAGTACCAGTTACATGAACAGTACATTGCATTAATTTAAGGTCTTCCTTCCTTTTGTCTCCCCCACTGGTCTTCAAATAAAGACATAAGGTTCATTTCATGTTGTCCATGACATTGTCTTGAATGGGGAGAAAGGTGTCCCAATGCATTAATTTATCTCATAATTTGTCAATAAGGGTCTGAATCAATGTCCTGTTGGGCTAGTAGTGGGAGGAGGAAGCTGAACTACAGTGAGAGGCAGTAAAGCTACTACCTAAAAATCCAAGAAATCTACTTTTCAGCAAGATAAAAAACTGGTTTCCTCCCTAGTACTACACAGCTGTGTAATTCTCCAGTACAGTGTTACTCTCTCAACATAACAACTGTGAATTACCACAGAGAAGAGCTCACAGATTTGCATGACTGAAGGTCACTTAAGCCTATCAAAATTCTGGTCTGGAGATTAATAGTTTCTAGAAACAGCAGAGATGCCAAGCCCTGTCATGCATATATCAGTGCTAAACAGACGTACCCTGACAGCAGTATCTTTGCCCATTAACACTGGGAGAGCAACTGACTGGATCTCATAAGAATTAGAGTGCACTTGTGACACGTTGGCATAGGCTGCACTTGAGACTGGATGTGGCACTTAGTGCCATGGCCTAGGAACAATGGTAGGGTTGGACTCAATGATTCTTGAGGTCTCTTCCAACCCGGTTGATTCTATGATTCTATACAATTTAAAACACAGGAAGATAGGCTACATGCTTTAAAGATCTTTTAAACAAAGGGGGAAAAGTGACAATTGAAAGAAAGTGCTGAGGAATAGGGTTAAGAAACAAACTAGTCATGGTACATCTTGATGATTTGAGATTAAATTATTGACAGATCTCATCAGATCTACTGACAGAATGCTTCTTCTCTGTAAGAACAAAGCTGAGAGAGGCTATTTTATACGCCAAGCCCTCAAATGAGTTAATAATTTTAGTTTGTCTTTGAACTGACAAGTAAAGTTGTAAAGGAATACCATACTAACAACACCTCACCAGTAAGTCTTCCTTCTGCACTGAGGCATAGACAAGAGCTCTAAAAAATCAGGACCTACATATTGGACAAATTGTAAGGACCATGTGAATTAGCACTAATGTCTGTCTGTACTTACTTCTCACTTGAAGATGCATATTATGACTTTGTCAGGATGGCTAGGAAAGCAGCCAGTGTATCTCAGGTAGCTAAAATGAGGCATCTCAAACCACATTTAACCATCAAAGTAAGACCAGTTTCTCTGACTGCTCTGAACAAAACCATGACAAACTGCAAAATCAGAATGAAATCAGATGAATTTAGAAGATTAAATTCTTAACTGAATCTCAGTCTATCTATCTTGCTTTGACACACCAAGTAGGAAAACTCTGAACTTGGCTGATAAAAAATAGCTACTCTACACACCACTTAACAATACAGACCACGTTAACAATACAGACAGTGAATATACCATCCCACCAATTTAATTTTTCGCTCAATTTCAGAACAAAGTGAAGCGTCATTTTTGTACTCAGAACAAATGTGAAGTGCTTTTGTGAGATATAGTTCTGAAAACCAGAACAGCACTTTAATAGACTAATGTTTGTGAATGCCTTTTCCACATCATTAGCAACATGTTGCAATCAGAGTGCAAGAATGATGCACCAGACTAATTATATTAAACACATTTCCAGATTTATTCTCCATGACCTTTAATGTATGTATTGTGTTTAACTAGCTGGACTAAAATACTAGTGAATTAGATGAAGATGTATGAAAAAGCAAGTGTTATGCTGGGTACCTATTTCAGATAAAAGCATGCTGTCTTTCAATAATGTGAGCTATTTCGGTTACCTATTCATCATTTGGTCTCATTTGTGGTAGTTCCATGGCTATATTGTTCATTCCATGATCCTGATTCCAATTAAATCTGTTTGTCAGAAGATGTGAACCAGCAGTCAACATGCAAAACACTGACAAAAACGGTACCTTGGAGGGAATTTTTCAGAAACACTTGGAGTCCACAGAACTATAAATGTGAAAGTATATCTAGCATCTACAAACTGCAATTAGATTAGCTTTCCTTTCTTCTCTGGCCTATCAGTTCTGATTAATTAAGTTTTCCTATCTCTAAAATAGGCATAAATTTATTCTGGCACAAGTAAGGTCCAATACAGAAAGCATATGGAAACTAATCGTAGTGATTTCAGCCCAGCTGGGACTTCTGAGTTTAGCAACTGGCCTCTTCCAAGTGCAGGTCAAAAGCACTGCTACAGTATGCAACATCTTCTGCATGGTTCAATATGCTAAAGACATAATTCCATCTGGCTTGAACTGCTCAAAGGCAGGTCAGGTCTTTCACCACCATAGTTCAACGGACCATCCAGGCCCTCAGCAAAGATAAGCAGGATCTCTTCACTGTGAACTTGAGCAGGGTCTTGGTAATTCCCTTTCACAAATGCATGTCTTGCAAGGAAAACTTAAAACAAATCTTTTATTACTGCTCTCTGAGGCACTGGCATTCTACTAAACTATAAAATCTAAAGAGAGAGTATGCAAATTGCCTGTTAAAAATGTGAAGTTTCCATCACTGGAAGTCTTTAAGAAAATAACGTGAAAAATGTCAAAAAAGGAATATAATTTGTAAAGGGATGAAAAAGAAAACTTCTTGAAGTCTCTTCTAGTTGCATTTTTATATGATTCAATGGCTTAGGACATACAAACCCACTACTGAATGTGTGGTTTCCACAAGTCTAATGTAGTTTTCACAAGCCACAAAGTCCTGCTTTTGTTTCCAAAAATGCTAAGTGAAAAAAAGCTATCAGGCTTCAGGGGGATACGGTATATAAAACCTCAGTTTGATGACATAAACCACAATTGTAAATACATCCCCTACAAGCAAAATACTCACTTTATTGATAAGAAATTCACTAAAACCAATTATAAGACTGTGGATGTTACAGCATTTACAGAACACACCTTCAAATATCACACACATCATCCTGGATACCTGTTGCCAACACGCAGAATATGCAGAGACCATTACATTTATTCTTAAATAAACAGAATGTTATTGAGCCACGTACTCTGTGTTTGCCTGTTATCTCATTGTACACTGTTATTCAACTTATTGCTGTAAACTTAAACAATTTTTAAAATAACATTTTAAAATAATGGAAAAAAGAGAGGAATGAAAAGGTACCAAAAGTAATAAGCACTCAGTTTAATGGATTCACTAAAAAGTGTGGAAACAACTCTAATGTCTACTTGGAAAGCTGTTTCTATAAACTTGCTTCCATGGTCATTAAAAATGTGATAAAATGGAGTACTTGGCCTTGATCCTAAAAGAAAAAAATTACTAAGTGTTTTAACACAACTTTATAAAACAAAACTGTAGAGAAAGAAACATGCAAACATACCCAATACCTTACACATGCCATTAATACAGGTATCTCGGCTGTGCCTCCCTTCAAAGCAAGGAGTACCATCAGTCACTGCATCAAGCATCTTCTCTGAAAAATGGCCATCTATTGGGCGACAGTGGAGCTCACAGGGGTTTGCTGAAGGGAAAACAAAGATACTTGCTCAGGCAATACTTCAGCAGGTCACTGGACTGGAATGCACAGGGAATGACAGTATTACTTTACTGAACCATCTGCTCACTTTCCCTGGCATTTGGCATAACTGGCCTACTTAGAAGAAGTAAACAGAGCCAGATCATATTGCTAAGAGTGACACATGCCTGATAGATACCACCTGTGAACTTCTAGGAAGCAGCTGAAGGCTGGTACCCTTACACCTCCATGCTCCTCGTCACTAGTACATTAAGAGCCAGTTGCTGAGTTAGGCAGTACTGAGGCTGTCAGCTGTGATGGAGAAAGGGAGGGAAAACCAGCAAAGAAAACTGTCAACAGCGAGGGAGTGGGATTGCCCAAGGATATTGACAGGAAATAGTTTTCCATCAGCTGATGACAGCAATTTCAGAGATAATTTACAACTTTTCAGCACTGCTGTCAGTCTTTCTCAGACAGCAGTCAAACAGTCCTGATCTTCTGCACATCAGTGGAGCATCACATCATTGGTGGCACTTAATATATAATGTCAAACATTGGGTTTTTTTCCTGCTTGTCAGCTTATGAAATAGGGATAACACTGGTGAGTCTGAGAGACCCAGGCTGTTCTTGGATAGATGTCCTACAGAAACAACAGGGAAGAAAAAACTGTAGCAAATGCAACCTTTAGTCTCTGAAACAAGATGATCTGGTATGGATCAGAGCCTTAGTCTATTCCATCCGTGGAGTAAGAAGAGCCAAACATGCACTGCCCTGCCTCAGACAGTGGCCTTTGGGAAAGGCAAATTTTGAAACTCAGACATCAGAGAGACAAAGGACACAAATTTGATAAATGCATTGTGTACATGGAAGATGAGTTAGAGCTGAAACGAGGGTCAAGGCAAAGACAGATATAATCCCTGCCTTTGCATCACTCCCTGGAAACTCTCCAGCAGAGCCTGAATTATGTGACTGAATTAAAAATCATCCACTCTCATATTGACAAGGGGCAGTAACAGAGGGCCTGTCTTCTGGGTTTGGTCTGTTCCAAGACCCCAGTCTAGCCCGATGTTAAAGCAATTTGTTCATGCTCAGCAAGATGAAGTGCTTTGCTCAGCAAAGCCGTGGGCCTTAACACCACCAGTCCATAGGGACTTTAAGGCACCATTATTAAGCCATTTTTAAACAATCTCTCCGTGTGCTGCAGAGGTGCCTCTGCTGAGTGACAGTTTCATCCTGTGCTTGACAGAGTCGCTAGAATCCACTCCCTTGATCTCAGAGGGATGCAGGGTAACTCTAAGTCTTCTCGGTCCTGGTAGAAGAATTTCTTTCTTCCATCTCTCCTCCTTTGTTGACCTGATTTGTGTCATACAAAGAAATGTGTTTCAAGAAATCTTGGTAATGAGAGAAATTCAAACTTGTGGTTTGAATTAAATAAAAGTATTTAGTTTCTTTTCATTTCATTGCACCAAAAAGAAACTAAATACTTTCCTACAAAAGAGTTTTTTGGGCTTTTTTGAAAGAGGGAAATTTGCTCTCATTGCTCTTGTTTGTACAGCAGCAACATACACACAACACCACACAGTGCACAAAGGTGACTGTAGCTCCTGTCCTCAAAGTGGATTCAGCTTAAGGACTGAATCCTACACATCCTGAGCTTTAGAACTGTGAATCTCATTGATGTAAACAGACTCTCTGCAGCACTAGGATCCAAAATATATTTTAAAAAAAAACAACAGTAAAAGAAATCCAAAATCTTAGTGAGGACTTTTGCTTTTTTCCTCATCAGTAAAGATAACATGGCACCTTAGCACTGTCAACAATGTTGCACTTGTGGCTTCTCAAACAAAAATGCCTTGGTAAAGGGCAAGAGAGTGACTGAAACCAGAGGACATGCATGGACCAAGGTTATACACCTGGTGGAATTCAATGTGATGTGACTCATGTTCAAGAACATCAGCAGAGATGCAGCTACAAAAGATTCTCAGGCAAGAACGTGATGTGTGCAATCCTTACAAGCAGCAAACCCCTCTGTGAAAAATACCAGCCATAATATCCATCACTTGTTTTGATAAGACCTGTCATGATAAATGATAAAGGTAATTTTACTTCTATCTGCAGCAATCGTTTTACAGCCATGTGGGTAATTTGATCACTTTAGTGCTTAAAATTTTGTGTCACCTTGCCTACCTTCTCAATACAGCATTTTTTAAACTCAAAGCACACTACCCTTTTGGCAAGCAGAATCCCAGAAGTCCAGGTACTCTGTCACCTGCTCAGAATCGCCCCTGACAGACACACACTTTACAGAAAGTCATTTCAGCTTCCACATTGTCTGTAATGAAACATGTAGAGCAGCAGTTTGGTATCTCTACTTCCTCCCTACTTGTTTGTTGACATAACAAGTAATTTCATCTCAGACATCACCTAGCGAGAAGAAGCAGAGAGTGCTAACCCCTGACATATTCCTGTTGTAACTATGATGCATAAGTACACAACTCAGAATCAGATTGTAGAGAAAGAGAAATCTCAAAATGAAAAGTAAAAATAAATAACACACAAAGTTTCAGACTTGCAAAGGTTTTCTAGGCATGAAAGATTTCCTGGTTTTCTTAGTTGGAGTAAATGATCTAAACTTAGATCCTACTCACAAATGTTTTTTTCTTCCTATACATTTTTTACTGAGCCTCACTAGAAATGAGAGGGTTTTTCTCCCTCCACACAAACTCAGACCTACCTGATATTTATTTGATTTTTGCCTTCAGAAAGGCTGGTTAGGACAGCAGCCTGGAGATTATGCCAGCCCTGTATTTGCCATTCATTTTCTGAAATTATTTACTTAGCTATCATTATTATTTATTACGGCTGAGCTCAGGGATCTTGTCTCTATTATGTTAGGACTACAAATAAGCTGTATCAGAATCAGCCACTGTCCTCCGAAAGTCTAATATTTTAAGCACAGAGCAGATACAGATGTAGAAAGTACTTTCATCTATTTTCAGAAAGCAAACTCACACACAAGGAAAACAAATAAATTTCTGGAAATATAAACAAATACATTTCCTGACTGGCATTAATTAAGACTTTTTTTTTATTTCAGTCCTGAAGATTTAAAAAGACTAAACTGCGATGAATTTAAGCACTAGGGTTGCTCAGAAGGGGCTCATTAAAGCAGTCAGTTCAGCTTCATTTACTTCAGCAAATTTGATTAATTAATGATCAAACTTTAACAAAAAGGCTGTCATCTGTGTAACTTTTAGGCCAAAATATACATAAATTCCTGCAATCCAGCATATGCATGAAATACTAGATCCAATCTGTGAACATTTAGTAATGACCATGGTCGCAAAGTTCCTGTTCAAAAAAAGCACTCTGTATTACTGTTTAACCAGAGCTGATTTCTGCTTGCCCACAAAATTTTACCCATCCTTCCACCCCAAAATAGGATCGAAGCCACTTAGACTGCTCCTGCTTAGATTGTATTTATACCTACGATTACAATATTCATTCCTCAAAACCTTTAGGTAACTGCTCTAACACTTAACCACCCATATGGCAGTGAAGATTTCTTAATGTGTAACCTAAAGTTCTCTCCTACTGTTTTGGCTGTTTCTGCTTTTTATACCTTTCATGGAGAGGAAGAACTGCTGGATCAGTTTCTTGCTTGGGTTTCCTGTACTGCACAAGTGGAGGGGATGGGAAGTTGCAATATGAAGTACAGTGACAGAAAACTTGATATCAAATCCAAGTATGCAAGCAGAAGAGCTACATACAAACTGCATTGGTAAGACTACAGTGTCCTGCTTTGTGAAGTCAGTTAACAGAACTTCTCGGATCTCAAGAGCTTCTTCCAGACCTGAGCAAGACATGGTACAGAGACATGTAGTCTTGGTAGCCTGTATCTCTACTAGTTCAGAGATAAGCATGTTAAATACTAGTTTTCTTGAGTAGCTGGCATTTAACTCACTCCATCTCCTCCTTTCTAGAGCAAAGCTTGCTTTTTCAAATGTTTTTCAAATCATAGAATCACAGAATGGTTTGTGTTGGAAGAGAACTTAAAGATCATCCATGGGCAGGGACACCTTCCACTAGACCACATTGCTTAGAACCCCATCCAATCTGGCCTTGAACACTTCCATGGATGGGGCATCCACAGTTTCTCTGGGAAACCTGTACCATTGCCTCACCACTCTCACATTAAAGATTTTCTTCCATATATCTAGTCTAAACCTGTCCTCTGTCAGTTGAAAGCCATTCTCTCTTGTCCTTGCAAAGTAAAAATTCCCTCTCAGTGACTTTATGACTTCCACGTTGCTCTCCTGTAAACCTCTAGTTTGGCGGAATCCTTCTGCCAGTACCTTGCTCCTAGCTGGGCATAAAATTTTACCTGAGGTGCCACCAATGCTCGGCAGCCTAGAAAAATTGCATCCTGTTTTTTATGTAGTTCCCATATCCTGCACCAAGATTATGCTGCTGATTTGACCAGAGACAAGTTCAATACTCTAATACATACAAGAAACAAAGATGTAGTGGAATTCCAAGCCACAGAGCTCCCATAAGTACCAAGACTTATTTGTAATCAGAAGGTAACTGAGGAAGCAAACCAACAAAGCTAAGTAAAAACCAAAAAAAATTGGACATGTGATCTTTTTCCCCCTCCATATACTACACAAAATTCAGATTCACCAAGTATAAACAGAACAACATGAAGATAACTAGAAAGGAACATATTTCTTCCCAATTTAAATTTCTTAACCTCGTAGCTGACACCCATGAGTTAACATGCAGAAAGGATCCAGCTTAACCTAACTAAGAAGGATGTGATTAATGTGTCTGTCAGCAGAAGATAAGGGTTCAATATTTTCCCCTACTTCACAAGGAAGAAAGGAGGTAGACCTCTTCTCTTCAAACCCTCACCTCAGTGAGAACTCAGAATTGGCTGAGGAAATTCAGACTGAAGAAAATTAGAAAAGACAGTTAACAAACACAGACAAAAAAAGGAAAAAACG